TGTGGTGCTGGAGGATTGAACCGTGGTCCCTGTGCTTTGCTAAGCTTGTTCTAAGTAGGTGCTTTAGACCACTGAGCCATCTCACCAGCCCAAAAGCTCTTCACTGCTCAAAATAAAAAACAAACAAACAAGGGCTTGAATCCTGGCTGTGCAACTTAGGTAATTGTCAGGAATGCTTTACCCAGTTTCCCCATTTGCAAAGTAGAAACAAAAAGCATACTACTTCTTGAGGTTGCAGCGAGAAGGAAATGAAATAATGCATATAAAATGTGTAGCACATCACTAGGAAAATTGTGAAATAATGCATATAAAATGTGTAGCACATCACTAGGAAAATTGTGAGTCTACTGTTATCCTTGTGACGTTGAGGGTGAGGCCACAACTCGTGCTTCATGTACTACAGAAGACCTCTTCTTCAGCAAAGCCTCAGTAAAATCTTGGTGAAGTGAATCAGTTGTAGCCACTGCAGAAGGAACTGTTATTTCCTTTTGAGCAGTTTCTCTCCCTTTCAACAACTGGAAAAAGACCTAAGTGAAAATAGTCAAAATATTTAAAGGAAAGCAATTAAGGGCAATTGCCCCAGCTAATATGAACCAGTTACTAAGGCTTGCAAAGTACCTAAGGATTTCCCAACAATTAGTTCCTTATGAAAAATTTCTGATCCTTAGGAAGATTTTATTTAATTACTTTGATTTTAGTCCCAGGCTTGGAAACATTCTTCTTGCATTCTCTGTCATGAGGCTTTAGGGGAGGCGAGCTGAAGCGCAGCCCTCTAGGATTTGCTCTTTCCCCAAAAGAAACTCAGAAGTAGCTTCTCTGTTGTTTGTTATTCAGAAGTTACTAAAGAAGAGATGGTTTATGGGCTTAATTCTTAGCTTTGTAAATAGACCCCAAGCAGTAGAAGCATAATCTGGCTTGTATCAGGAGCTGATTAAGGAAGGAATGAGCCGCAGGCCTGGGGAAAGTTATGAGGCCCACTGCTCAACAATTGACTTCCGGAAGATCCAACCATAACCCTTGTGAGAGATGGCTGTCTCTGGAAGTCCAACTGCTGAGCAATCCAGGAGAGAACGCACAGGGCTTGAATTCATTAGCTGTAAATTCTGCTCCTAATTTAAACACCCAAAGTATCTGAGCATTTTCAATAAATCATTGTTCATTCACTCTATGTTGTTTATCCACCATGCAGAGATGAAAATAAATAGCTTCTCTGTAGGTGACACAGATGCAGATACATAGACTGATGGAGATGGAGAAGCAAGACACCAAAGATGTTTGCTTAGTATGCTGGGACAGCTGCAACAGGACACCATAGACTGGGTGGTTGTAAACAATGGAAATTTGCTTTTCGCAATTCTGAAGTCTGGGAGGTCTTCAAGTGAGGTACCAGTAGATGCCATGCTTGGTGCAGACCCATGTCCTGGCTCAGAAGGGCACTTTCTTCCTATGTCCTCACATGATAGAAGGGCAGAGGCTCCTCTTAGGCCTCTTTCACTAAAGCACTAATAGCTCTCATGAGCTTTTGCCTGCTGTGACCTGACCCCTTCTCAAAGCCCCGTTCACTATGACAATGGGGGTTGTTTCAAGTGATGGATAGGAGGAAGAAGGGGCAAAAAACATTCAGACCACAGCAGTGTGTTCACTTCTACAACTCTAATGATTAAAGAACCATCTCAAAGAGAGGAAGGCATTCTTTCTGCAGGTCCCCTCAAGCCTTCTGATTAGGTCAAGGAGAAAGTTCCCATTTGGTGGTAGCCTTAGACAAGCCTCTGACACCTGATGCCCTTCCTTAGCCAGCCCTCCAGCGCGGATGTCACATAATAAGGAAAAGTTTCACATCTTTTAGTGAATATTACATTTATTGTGCTCTGCAGACAATAGTAGCTAAAAATGTTTAATGTTTTATTCTTTATTGTATTTATTGTTATGAGTACCTATTCTTTATGAAGATAATACTGGTTCTTCATTTACAAACAAGCAATATAACATTTGGTTTTAAAATATATTAAATAGATTTAAATTTAAAGATGGAGAAGAGGGGAGATGGCTCAGTAGAATAAGCGCTTCCCTGGCAAGCGCAAGGGTCTGAGTTCAATCCCCAGATCTGCCAAAATAAGAAAAGAAAAAAAAATTAAAGATGAAGAGGAGGATAAAGCAACAGTCTTGAAAATGATAAGCAAATAATTGGTTTGGGAGACAAAACAGTGTACGGAATCATAATATCAGCCCATCTTCCTTACAGAATCTTT